ACGGAGACTTCGAGGTATATCTGCCAGCGTCCGCAGACTCCGGAGTCCCCTTCTATCATTTTATGTTGTTTCCTTATATTTTATCTAGACCTTGACATATAGAGACATTGATAATAAATTCTTAGAAACTTGTGACTTATTTCTACCGGGTTTTGGGAGTTGAAATTGTTTGAATTATAGTTTATTTATTTCAGATATTTATTATTATTCCGCATTGATAGGCTTACCTAGTCTTAGAGACTAGGTGCCATCACGACATCCTACGGAGGGAATTTGGGGTCGTGACAGTGTTCTTATATATATACGGCTATACCTCTATATATATATACACACACACACACACACACACACACACACTTCATTGTAATACTTTAACTATATATATATATATAGCTTGTTATAGTATATGTTTGTGTGTGTGTGTGTGTCTGTATATATATATATATAACACGCTTCGTTGTACTACTTTAACTACATATATAGCATGTTATATATAGCATATGTTAGTGTATTCATTATTTGTATTACAAAAGTGTTAACAAAATACATTTATATTATTTAGATAGTAAATATAAAAGTAATACAAAAGTTTGACCAATGTTGACGTAATAACCGACCAACTTTGGTCGGTTATTTTGCAGAAAATAACAATTACCGACCAAAGTTGGTCGGTAAATGCTTCCCCTGCATTAACCGACCAACGTTGGTCGGTAAATTTAAATATAAATTCTTAAATATTATAAAACATTTTAAATAATAAAATAATTATTAAAATTTAAAAAATTGGGTCCAGATTACCGACCAACGTTGGTCGGTAATCCAAAATTTTCTTGTCTGACCAGCTGGGTCAATTCGTTGACCAATTTACCGACCAACGTTGGTCGGTATTTAGTTTAAAAAAATATAATTTTTTTTTCCAGTTTCCGTCCAAGTCGGACGGTTTTTGGTCGCTTTTTTTGACCGACCAACGTTGGTCGGAAATATTTGATCGGTTTTTAGCGGATTTTTAGTAGTGAAAGTGTATCACATAAAATAAGACGTATTAGATTAATAAAATATTGAGAAATTTATTTGAATCGTTCATAAAGATTCAACCTTTTTTGCAAGTAAAATTCATACTCAAACACAATTTCAATCTGAGAATACTTTTTTCCAGTTTCAGTTTCAAATATTCTTTATCCAATTCAACCAAATAGCGCCAAGCTATGTTGCATGGACTCTTTAAAAATATTGTCGTGCGCATGTCGAATCGTTAAAAAATACACCACTTTTGAAAGATTCGATACGCACCTGACGACATTTTTGGAAAGTACGAGCAACATAGGTGTCCTGACGCTTACATATCTTCTTCAGGAATTGATTTAATTTCATATATATATTGCAGGGCAATCAAGAATACAATAGCAGGATTTCCAAGACCACTGCGAAATCTAAGCAGTGAAGCATTTGCAACAGTTATGAACGATGCATTTGGACATCCACTAGAACCACCTTTCAATCCTTACGCTAATGACATTAATTATCTTCTTGTTTCGTATGTTATTCCTTATATTGGACTCACTGGATATGTTGGAGCCAATCCTAAACTCCACAGCCCTACAGCCAAAACGGTAATTGATAATCAGTTTGATGTATACATATTTTGATATATATCGCCTCACATTTTGCTCATGTCTTGACGATTTGAGATGTTTAATATGACTATTTATGCTAGATTTTGGTATTTCTATGTGTAGGGATCATTCGGATGCAATTTGGGACGAAATGGCGTGAATTGGAGTAAAATCGGGACAAAAAGGCAAAAAGTAAAATTTGAGGGCCACAGCCAACGTGGGGCGCTGGCTGTGGTGCAATTTACAGCAGCTAAAATATTTGAGTGCCAGGGCCAGCGCCCCATGCTGCCTTGGACGCTCAAGACGGGAAAGTAGCCTTTTTCGACTAGGACTCGTGTCATTTCGACCCCTAGACGCCCCCAACTCATATAAAAGACAACCTAAACCTATCTTTACAGGGAGGGACGTGACTTTGAGAGAGGAAGGGAGGTGCCAAACACTCGGGAGCACGGATTTGATCAATTCTTCCATCCCTTTCCTAGTACTCATTGATTTTATGTTTGAAAACTTTATTTTTGATGATTGTATGAACATGCGTGGCTAAGAACCCTATTGTTCTAGGCTCATGGGTGATACATGAATGTTAATGTTTGAAATTTAATTTGACGAAGTTGATTTTATCATGTTGGGTTGTTTATATAATTCTATTCTTAATTATTTTGCTGAGTAGCTAACAATGAAATACTATCTACGAATCTAGAGTTGAACTCGAAAGTGGAAATTCTAGATTGCATACAGAATTAAATAGAGCAAGTTCTTGAACCCGAGCATTGGGGAACAGATTCGCAATTAGGATAGACATATACCTAATTGCCTTGCTCGGTTGGAATACAGGAATTGTAAATGCATTCTTGTTAATATTAATTCCATAGACATATAGGCATTGAGTTAGCTTGAATAGGCGAGTAAGGACTCGACATATTAGTATGAGTAATCTCAACCCTGTCAATCAACAATCCAGATAAATCAATTAGTCATTTTAAACTAAGAACGTAATATGATTGATAGCTAACCCGTGACCCTGGAATATTATCTCCTATTGATTGTTATTCGAAATTGTTTAAATATTGTGGTTGATTTCTAGTATTTCATTACTTGATAGTTTTTAGGTAGTAAATTAGAAAATTATCTATTTTGTGAGTAATCGCTTGACTCGATAAGTTATTTGAGTTTGAATTAGGCAAAAGTTAATCATAAGTCTTCGTGGGAACGATACTCTACTCACTACTCTATTACTTGACGACCACGTATACTTGCGTGTGTGTGTTTGGTCGCAACAAGTTTTTGGCGCCGTTGCCGGGGACTTAAAAATTAACAACTTGACTGAGTTAAGCTTTTATTAGTTATTTGTTCAAGCTCTAATTTTCAGTTTACCTTATTTGTGTTAACGCAGGCTCTTCTCTTGAATGCGGAGGAGTAGAAGCGCAAACAATCTCCTTCCTCTTGATCCTGAAATTGAACGAACACTTCACATAGTGAGGAGGGAAGTCGAAGCTAGAACTAAAATAGAAGGAGAGTTGGACATCGTAGTTCAACCACAGCCAACTGAGATGGCAGGTAATGAAGAGCGTGCGGTGATAGAAACTGCAAGGCCCAATATTGCTAATATGACTCAGGCAAACTTTTGTTGATGGGCTAGACGAGGCATCAAAGATGAATCTTGATTCAGCTTGTGGGGGTAGTTGCATTACAAAGCCTTATAGTGAAATACAACTCTTGCTAAATAACTTCACTGCTAATGACTATAATTGGAAAGGAGACGGGGACTCACGAAGAGCAATTAAACAAAAGGCAGCCGGATTGATTGAGCTTGATGACTTCTCATCCATGAGAGCCGATATAGCAAAATTGGCAAATCAGATGAATAGAATGACAATGCAACAAACACAACAGATGCAACATGTACAACAGATGTCTATTTGCTGCGAACTATGTGGTGACATTCATATGAGTGACATGTGCCCCACGAATCCTGAATCTATATACTATGTGGGGCAACAGAGCAGAGGTCCAATGAATCAGCATGCACAATATGGAAACACTTACAATCCAAATTGGAAGAATCATCCCAACTTCTCATGCGGCGTAAATCAGCCGAATCAGAATCACTATAGAAGCCACCCCAACAAACAAAAGAGAGTACGAATGACTTGCTGAAGAAGTTGTTGCTTGACAATCAACAGCTCAGGACCGATTTTAGAAAATCTTGAGAGGCAAATGGGATAGTTAGCAGCAAATCAAAATACTAGACCTGCAGGCGCTCTTCCCAGTGATAAGTTAATGTAGTTACACTCAGAAATGGGAGGGAACTAGAGGAAGTGCCAAAGAAGAGAAAGGAAAAGCCTATACCTGAGGGGGAGCTGATCCATAAGGCAATACACGAGTCAAAGAAAAATGATGTAGGTTCAGAGCCAGTGGAGGCTGCAAGGTCACCACCACCTTTCCCCCAGAGATTGCAGAAAAAGAATGATGATCGCATGTTCAACAAATTTCTCTCTATGTTGAGCCAGGTTCAATTAAATATTCTATTGGTAGATGTACTTCGTGAAATTCCAAAGTATGCTAAGTACATAAAAGATATAGTGGCTCATAAGAGAAAATTGACTGAGTTCGAGACAGTTGCACTTACTGAGGAGTGCACTTCAAGGGTCCAAAACAAGCTTCCTCAAAAGCTTAAGGATCCTGGCAGCTTCACCATCCCTGTGCGAATTGGTAATATTGATGTGGGTCGTGATCTTTGTGATTTGGGGGCGAGCATAAATCCAATGCCCTTGTCCTTGTTTAAGCAATTGGGTCTGGGAGCTCCAAGACCAACCACTGTGATATTGCAATTAGCTGATAGGTCCATAGCCTACCCTGAAGGAGTGATTGAAGATGTGTTGCTGCAAATTGGGAAATTTATCTTCCCAGCTGACTTCATTATTCTAGATTTTGAGGTTGATGAACAAGTTCCAATCATATTGGGATGACCTCTCTTGACTACTGGTGATACAATAATTAAAGTGAGAGAGGGAAAAATAATTATGAGGGTGGACAACGAGAAAGCAATTTTTAATGTCTACAAAGCGATCCAACTTCCCCGCCACTATGAGGAGCTCTCTATGATATCTGTTGTGGAGGTTGATGAGCAACTTCTTGACACGAGTGTATATCTAGGCGATTCTCTAGAAAAAGAACTCATGTTGTTCGATAGCTTGGAGATTGATGATGAGGTTGAGGAGATGATGCATATCCTAGATGCATCATGTGCTTACATGCAGGGAATACACCCGTTTGAGCCCCTGAATAGGCCAAGTGGGTCTCCTCCAAAGCCGTCAATTGAAGAAGCTCCAAAATTGGAGCTTAAACCCCTACCCCCTTACCTTCAATAAGCTTATTTGGGTAGTTCTTACACTTTACGTGTTATTGTTTCTTCTGACTTGTCTAAATTGCAGGAAGAAAAGATGTTGAGAGTGCCACGTGAGCACAAGCGAGCAATTGGGTGGACGATGTTTGACATTAAAGGCATTAGTCTAGCTTTCTGCATGCATAAAATCCTCATGGAGGACGGACACAAGAAAAGTGTAGAGCAACAACGGTGCCTAAATCCAATCATGAAAGAGGTGGCAAGAAAAGAAGTGACTAAGTGACTTGATGCAGGTATTGTATGTCAAATCTCTGATAGCAAATGGGTAAGCCCCGTTCAATGTGCCTAAGAAAGGGGGGATGACTGTAGTGGTTAATGAAAATAATGACTTAATTCCTACAAGAACTGTCACTGGGTGGAGAATTTGCATAGATTATAGAAAATTGAACAATGCCACCCGAAAGGACCACTTTCCTCTCCCTTTTATTGAACAAAATACTTGATAGGATAGCTGGCCAGGAATACTACTATTTCCTAGATGGTTATTCGGGATATAATCAGATTGCTATAGCCCCAGAGGACCAAGAGAAAACCACATTTACGTGTCCTTATGGCACGTATGCGTTTAAGAGAATGCCCTTTGGTCTCTGTAATGCACCTACGTCTTTTCAAAGGTGTATGATGGCTATTTTTACTGACATGGTTGAAAGATTTGTAGAAGTGTTCATGGATGATTTTTCTTTTTTTGGGTGTTCTTTTGATAATTGTTTAATGAACCTTAATAAAGTGCTTGCTAGGTGTGAAGAAACAAACTTGGTACTAAACTGGGAAAAGTGCCATTTCATGGTACGTGAAGGTATAGTCTTGGGACACAAGGTGTCCAAAAATGGTTTGCAGGTGGATAAAGCAAAGGTGGAAGCGATTGAAAAATTACCTCCACTGACATCCGTCAAAGGCATTCGCAGTTTCTTGGGCTATGCAGGTTTTTATCGTCGTTTCATTAAATATTTTTCGAAGATTTCTTGACCTTTGTGCAGGCTTCTTGAAAAGGATGTCACTTTCAAGTTTGATGATGACTGTCTGAAAGCATTTGAGGAGCTGAAGGGAAGGTTAGTGACTGCACCAATTATCATCGCCCCAGATTGGGCCCAGCCATTTGAGTTGATGTGCGATCCAAGTGACATAGCAATCAGTGCTANTTTCACTCCATTTATTATGCGAGCAAAACTATGAATCCAGCTCAGATGAATTATACAGTTACTGAAAAGGAGTTGCTTGCAGTGGTGTGGGCGTTTGACAAGTTCAGATCCTATCTAGTGGGAACCAAAGTCATCGTCTACACAGATCATTCAGCTATCAGATACTTGTTTGAAAAGAAATATTCCAAGCCGAGGCTGATTCGTTGGGTCCTTCTCTTGCAAGAATTTGACTTAGAAATCCGAGATCGAAAAGGGACAGAGAATCAAATGGTTGATCACTTGTCCATATTAGAAAATCGGAGCCATGTAACTGAAGGAGGGTCAATCAAAGAAACATTTCCTGATGAGCAGTTATCAACAGTCACCTCAGGTGAAACCCCATGGTATGCAGATTATGTGAATTTTATTGCAAGTGGGGTGACGCCACCAGAATTGACACCTGACAATAGAAG